CATCATCTCTTTTCACCTTGACTGTCCTGAGAGTCTTGAGACTGACGGGTCAGGAGAGACATAAGGCCAAGTAGGTCACACAAGGACAGCAAGGCTATTCCCAGCCTGATTTATTCCCGTGAGCAACTTGCTTACCTCTCCAGGCAAACCTTAATCTTACTCTCTGAAAAAAGGGAATAATTCTGCTTTCCTAATCCAACCATGACCTACATAAATAAAATGCTTAATTGAACACAGTGTAGTCCATGAATCACAGAGAAGACAAGTAGTGATTTTACAGCATCTTACTATGCTCATGGACAGTGACTGTGAAGGGGCACGTGGGGGGGACTTGGTGAAGGGGGGAGCCTAGTAAACATAATGTTCTTCATGTAATTGTAGATTAATGATACCAAAATTAAAAAAAAAAAAAGGAAGGGATGCCCGAGTACTGACAGAGGGTGGGCATTACAGTTAACTTGGCAGAGGGGTGTGCCTATTTGGTGGGAAAGACCAGAATATCAGCATTCTAGATCCTTTATATTTAGAGCCCTCTGTCCTTACTTTGCTCTCCCAAGAAAACGGATTTCCCAAATAGATTTTCCACTGGGAGGAGAATACACTTCCTGGCCAACACCAGCATTCGAATACCTAACTGGTAGTTAATGTTCACATTATAAACATCCCAGTTGCCATTCTGCCTTGTGGGTAACACAGCTTAGATGTGTTCGGCATGAACCAAACGCACAGCGTGTGTCCTGTGTGTGCCTCATCTCCCTTTCTCAGCAACACTATTAGGTGGAGGAGATTTATAGAAGGAGGGAGGAGGAGAGGAGAAAGAACAAAATATGGGTGTCCCCCAGTCCTGGCCCTAAACCCTGCCACCGTGAAATTAAGTATGAGATAGCCAAAACAGCCATTCAAAACTCATTACCCAATTGGGAAATAGCTCTGCGGTAGAAATTCTCAACCCAACTTAGACCTTCCTGGTTTTTAAAGTTCTGTCAAATGATTGGTTTCCACTGTGTTATTTATGTGAAACCATCATAAGATTGTATATCAATGACACTTAAATAAAAAAAGAATATATATATATATACACACATATATGTGATTGGTTTCCAGAGGGGACAGGGGGCAGTGAGGCAGGCAAAATAGTTGAAGGGGATTAAGAGGCACCACCTTCCAGTTACAAAATACATAAGACACAGGGATGAAGTGTATGGCATAGGGAATACAGTCAGTAACATCGTAACAACTTTATATGGTGACAGACGGCAACTGGACTTCTATTTATATATAATTTCTATTTCATAATATATATAAATATCGAACCACTACATTGCACACTTGAAACTAATACTATATTGTATGTCAATTATTCTGCAATAAAACAATTTTATTGAATATGTTATTCATACATTGCCATCCAACACACATTTATCAGCCACCTCTGTGCACTAGGCACCATGCGAGGCTGGGAGGGACAGCCATGGAAGATGTGGCTTCTGCTTTCCAGGAGCTCAGTGTCATAGGGGAGGCAGTTTTGTACACACGCAGTGCTCACAGCTATGATAAAGTTATACCCAGGGTGTTGTAGGTGTGCAGACCAAAGGCAGGGGGTGGAGCCCATCGAATGGAGAAACGGATATATGCAGGGGCAGGAGGGGAGAGGGGGGCAGAGACAGGAGTTCAGTGCAGATGAAAGGCTCAGTCCTTTCTGAACCAGGTGGGGCTGGCAATAAAATGAGAGGTGTGAATATAGGTCTGATCTGAGGACTTGGAAATAATGAGAAGTATTTAAAGATTCATAGTAGATATGTATTTTAGAAATACAATTTAGACAGCTGGGTGGAGGGTGAATTGGAAAAGAGCAGAAGTACAGTTTGTCCAAAATCTAGGTAGGAGGTTCCTGACATCGGCGGCTAGTGATGGCGCTGAGCATGGAGAAGGGACACTCAGGGATAGATGGACTAGAATGTGGGGGAAGATAAGGAGGGGAAAGGGATCTGAGCTTCGGTTTTGGCAACGGAGTCAGTGGTGATGTTATTCATCAAGGTCTGGAGGAGGAGAAGTTCAGAAGCAACTCACTTCAAGACAGGTCAGGTTTGAAGCACTTGTGAATTGTCCAGCTGGCAGTTAGAAATAAAGGGCCAGAGCTGAGCAACAAACTGTGGTGGTGACACGAAGTCAAGTCATCAGCAGGAGAGGCTGCAGTTGCCCAGGGGGACAGTGCAAATGCACCTGCAAAGAGACGAGGGCCCTGGCAGGCCCACCAAGGAACCCAGGCATCTAGCACCAGGTGGAGGGGTGAGCATCCCTGACAGCTTTTATTAACCCATGCTAAATCTAGAATTTCTTCCAAAGTCACCCAGATGTGGTCACATAGATTATGTTCTCCATAAACCTGTGGGATTTCCAGGGACACTAAGAGGTCACCTAGAACAGCCCCAGCTCACAGGCAAGGCCTCTCACAAAGGCGCTGATGGTCTGCGCTGTTTCCTAGAGGTGTCCAGAGATTCCAAAACCCAACACTCCGAGGCAGGCAATGCTAGGTTCCTGAGCGGGGCACGGCTATAGTCTGGAAAGTCCCACCAGGCCCCCCGGGGAATGTGCACTCCGGATGGAGACTTCCTGCACTCAGCCCCTCATGCAAGCATGGAAATGCCCCTCCACGTGTGATGCCTGATGTCACAGGAGAGTGGTTTTTATCACACATTTCCTGTTTCCAGCCAAGAGGGGATTCACTGTTCACTCTCGGCGTGAGGAACCTCCTTAGGCCCTTTCAATTATTCCTCTATTTGCTCTTCTCTGAGATTATTAATTCTAATTCCTCCCATCTCTTGACTAACCTTTGAAAATCACATTTCCCACCATCCTCAGTGACAGAGGCACACAGAGCTCACTCAGCTCGGAGCAGGCAGGTCTGCCCAAGGGCAGAGGGCCCTTTCCCCACCGGGTTTCCCTCTTGCAGGTTGGAATGTGCCACTGCCATGCAGCGGTTCCATCAGCATGTTGTCTTCTGCACTGTTTTCTGCTCTGCTTGCCTAAGACCTTCCCTACCCCATATTTTAGGCAGTCTACTTTTTCTCTCTCATCTAAAAACCTGAACTTGATCAGACTGGTTTTTAGCCACATTCTGAAGTTAAATAACCTTAACTTTTAGCCATATTTTCCAGGGTGCTGTTACCTGTCCCCCAAACTGCTGTCCTTGGCTGATCCTCTCTCCTTTCCATCAGCCTCATTTACTGATTTAAACCAAATTAGACCCAAGGCAAGACATGGGCTGTGTCTGGGCCAGAGAATGCAGTGTTTCCAACCTGGGTACTTGAGAGAGGAGAGACCCAAAAGGGAGAGTCTCATCAACATTCCTAGGTGTTGACAATATCAATCCTCTGCTAGAAGCAAACAACAAAAGAATATATGGGAGCTGCCATGTGAGAGAACTTTGAAGAGTAAGAGAGAAGCAATGGAGAACTTGATCTGCAAAATATTAAATATATTATGAAATTACAATAATTGAAATAGTAAGGTACACACAGAGGACAGGCAAAGCAATGGAAGAACTAGACAGTCTAAGAAGAGATCCAAATAAATAAATGGAAATATAGAGTGTGACCTGGACAGTCTTCCCAAAGGTGACTGGGAACTGGCTTATCATTTGAGGAAAAAAAAGTTACTATGTAAATTTAGCTTTATATCACGCATCAAAACAAATTCCAAATGGCTCTAAGTTTCAGTGTGAAAAGGAAACTACAAAGAAGCTTTAGAAAATAGTAGAGAATAAGGAGTGATCTGATTTCAGGTGGGGAAGGCTTTTCTTGGCATGACCAGAGGCAGAAACTATAAAAGAATCAATAGATTTGATTACATGAAAATTTAAAAGTCAAAAAGAATACCAAAAAGAAAATTAAAGAGTAAATAACCTGGGGGAGGGATTTGTAATACGTAGAACAAAATATTAGGATTATTAATGTAGGCAAACTATTAAATCAAGAAGTAGTATAAGTGCAAAGGTGTTAAAATTCCTCTGAAATCCACTAAAATGAACAAAAATTTATACGAAAATTTATCTGCACCAAAACCAAGCAAAGGTCCCCAACTTACACTATAAACCTCAAGCAAATGCAAGGAATTTGCACACATAAATACACATTAAGGCACCATGGCGGTTCCTTTCTAATCTTCAGGACCTGCCCAGAGTTCATGCCACCCACTGTAGGCCTGATAAACTGAAATTGGTGACAGTGGAAAAATGGTAGCTCCTGCTGCAAGTCATCAGATATCACAGTCTCCCTATCAATAAAGTTAAAAGACTCGGCCTCCCAGGGAGAAGGAAATTCATCTTCTCATCTTTATATCCCTGTCAGCAGTTAACACCGGTCTTACAGTACATCACCAATCAATAAGTATTTGCTGAATTAAATTGTTAGTCTCAGTATGCCTCTCCCCCACTTCAACTGCACACAGAATCCCCGATATTTAGGCATCTGATATAAAGAAACTCCTGCATCACGAATATAAGAAAATAACCCACCTAGCCCATTGTCCTCTGGGGTGTATCATCTTGTCCCAGGGGGGCCTAAGCTGGGATACAGATGCTTTCAGTGAGAGGAGCTAGGAGCCCACACAGCCATTTACTTCGCGGTTGGGGGTTTGATCTGGAACTAGAAAGTAGTCAGGAGATTTCTGGGTATGAGAGGACTAGGTGGCCTGTGGAGGTGTGGCAGGGCCTACATGCCAGCTCCCTGGCCTGACCTAACACAGGTCTCCAGATGTTAGAGAACCATGAAAGGCTTTGAGAGAATCTGGACAGAGAGGGCAACAGCTGGGACAAAGGTCAGTCACTGTCCTGACGTCTGGTGCAGCTCTGTCCCCGTCTCCCGGGAGTCAGGGGACCAATAGGAGTAAGTGCGGCACCCTGGAACCAGCCTGAGGAGAGAGGGTTCTCTCTGGGGACACAGCAGGGCACCGTCTATGGCTCTTTGTGGGTAGCTACCACGCAGGAGAAGCCTGCAGCAGAAGAACTCAGGAGACCTGGTCCTCCCCACACCTTCCGGAGGATGCCTTACAGAGGAGGGGAGATGTCAGAGGCAAAGGCTTGGTGGCTGCTCTGCAGGGGGAACCAGGGCCCTCCTGACTGGACTTCCCTGTTCAAGGAGCAGTCTGATAACGCTGCCGGGACACAACTTGTTTTTCCGCTGTTTTCCTGAACCTCTGAAAAAGTACATTTTTCTTTTTCCTACTATGAATAACAAAGTAGAGATGGGAAATTTCCCATATAACGTCAGCCTTGGTACTGAAGTAGACTTGGGAAGGAAATACTCCCTTTACAGCTTTCTTCCCCGTTCTCCTCCAGCATTCTCGGCTCCAGAACAAACACTGAACCCCAATGATCACCATGTTGTAATACGGTGGTTTATCTTTACATTTACGCATGCACTTGCTTTCTCTTTCTCTCTCCCCCCACCCCCAAGTTTCCCTCTCTGGTTCTCCCTTTCTCCCTGTAAAAAGACAATTTTGCCTGCAAGTTTTTTGACTTGGCTAGAAAATAGCATAACCAGTATGTGAAAGCTCTTCAGACTCTCTGGGTTGACATCAAGGATGAAAGTTTGTTCTTCACCCTGTCCTAAAGGGAGTATAAAATGTGGTGCTTTTTTGAAGAACTCAGATCAATGGGCTCTACCTGAGGGAGCCTGTCAGCCAGGCATCCAAAACACTGAGACAGTGTGTCGGCGTCCCCACGCCTCTCACCAGCACCAGCACCCTCCTCCGCCTACACTGCCATACCTGCCTCTGTCCCTCAACAGTCCTGGAACGTTCACCCTCCTCTGAGGTCAGCAACATATTTAAAGCACTTGTTTTCACCCTGTTCCCATCCGTACATAAGACTTAGTTCAATGTAAGACACCCAGAGGGGAAATTCCACTCACTTTCCTTCTCGGAAATCAGCTGCCGCATTTTCCAGGCCCAAATCCCTTGCCTTGCATTTCTGGTAAAATTCAAAAGTTCACAATTTACAGAAAGCCACATTTTAGGCAACCAGGCATTTCTCCTCACAGCAACATGTAAGATTCTTATTTTTCCCTTTTATAAAAGAGAGAGTTTGGGCTTTTTTTTTTAACCCTTTCATAAGATCTTAACAAAGTGAATTTTCACACTTTTCTAAAATTGCACGTTCTTTAAAGTAGAGTTGGAAAATCTGCAATCAAGAACTTGAACAGCTTAAGGGTCTCAATGAACTTAAACAGCTCAACAGTGTCCCCTGGTGGACATGAGCCCAGACACAGGGCACTTGACAAAACAAGGTAGAAGTGTCTCCCCAAGTTGAAACTCCCTCTCCCCGGCTCAAAAAATATGAGTTTATTTGAATCGGCGATCCAAATCTTCTAAGATAACAAGGACCAAAGAATAGGAGACTGATATAGCTATTCATTTTAATAAGTCGCCACGGAGAGGAACGTCCAAATTGAACATTACTTCTCTTTCCAACCCAAAACTTGGTGAATTCTTTTTGGTCCAAAGCCTTTCTTAACTAACCAGGCATCTCCTCTATACCAGTACCACCCAGTGGCCATTTCAGGATCAGCCCTCATATTCGCTCGTTATATAAATATCTCATGTGTTATGTGCTAGCACTGTTCTTATATGTCGGGGGTTCAGACAAAGATCTCTGCCTTCAAGGAGCTCCTATTTCAGCACAGCAGAAAGAAAGTTTTAAAATACAAGTTTTGAAAATAGGCTCTAGAAGGAGATTCAAGCAGGGTAAGTGGATAGAGAGTAATGGGGTAGAGATGGGGAAGTTATCTTTGGAAGGATGGGCAAGGAGAGCCTCTCTAAGGTGATGGCATGTGAGCAGAGACCTGAATGATTATAAAGAAGCCATGTGGAGGGAGTGTTCCAGGAAGAATAAACAGCACATGGAAAGGCTTGGACACAAAAACAAGTACGACCTATTTAAAGAATAGTAAGGAGGGGAGGGAGGCAGCTGACGTTCAGAGAGAGAGGATAGCAAAGGGAGATGAACTGAGGGCAGGCAGGGGCCAGACTACACACTCCGCGGTAAGGAACTGGGATTCCGTTCTAGCACTAATGCAAACGCAATGGACAGTTTTGAGCTGGGCATAATCATATGCATTTTTAAAAGATCACTCTGACTCCTAAGTGACCTTTTTCAAGTTATGGTGACGATTAAGACTTGGCATGGTGGGCAGGGTGAGGATAGCCAACTGTGAAAGCAGGGAGACCCATTAGAAAGTTACTGCAAGGGTCCAGGCAACAGGTGGCTGGCTCGGATCAGGCTGCTGGTGGTGAAGGTGAAAGTGGGGAGAAGGGGTTGGATTCAGAATATTTTTTGGAAACAAGCCAACCAGGCGTGTTGATGACAGAAACTGGCAGTGAGGAGTAGAATCAATTACGACTTCGTTTTGGCTAGAGCTGGCGGTGGACAGGAATGCCAATAACTGAGCCAGAGATGCCTGGGTGGGAAATGGATTTGAGGAAGAGAGAGCCAAAGCCCTGTTGGGTTTGCCTACTGGATGTTCAATAGTTTATATTCAGGAGATGGGTGAATATGTGAGCCTGGAGCTCAGAGGAGAGACTGGGGCCAGGATATATATTTGGCAATCCTCAGTATACAGGTAATACTTGTAGCCATGCCTGGGAGAGATCACCAAGGCAGAAAGGGAAGACATAGAAGAAGAAGGAAGTGGAGAATGCCTGGGGGCCAGGGATTAGGGTGCTAATGAAAGCAGGTGCAGATGGTGCAGAAGACTGAGAAGGAGCGGCCAGCCAGGCAGGAGGAACCCAAAGCCGACAGGAACGGTGTTTCAAGATGGAGCAAATATCCAGTGCTGCAGAGAAAATCAGGTAAGAACAAAATTGGCCAGGCCAGTGGATTTTTTTCAAGATGGGGACACTTTTAGTAAAGCAGTGAGGACAAATGCCTCCAGATTGGAACCAGATAAAGAGAGGATGGGAGGTAAGGCATCTCTACACAACAGATACTTCTTTCAAGGAGCTTCACTTTCAAGGGATGACTGAAAAAAGTAGCTGGTGGGAATATGGGGTCAAAAGATGAGTATTTTTTCTTTGATTTCACCAAAAGAGGAGATATTACAACACGCTTTTGTAAATATGAGGCTGATTCTATGTTGGAGATAGATGATGATTATGAGGAGGGATGGGATCCAGGGGACCAGCTGAGTCACCTGGGGAGTGGGGACAAGAAAGAAGACCGAGTAGACGGTTCTGCATGCAGGTCGCAACGGAAGATCTGCGAGCGGCAAGTCCTCCCCTGATTACTGCTGAGTGCTCAGTGAGATGAGAAACAGGAAGCTAATGCTCGGGGTGTTAGCTCAGACTCGAGGGGCAGGGGTACCACAGATTTGAGGAGATACAAGAAAAGGAATAGAAAGTGACTGTGCCAGGGGACTAGCGATCACTTTTCCCTGAAAGGAGCCTACTCTTCAGGCACTTGCAACAGAATGACAATTAAAGATGTTATTGAGCAAGAAACAGTGGTAGGAAAAATTCTTGTTAAGTATGATGTATTTTACATATTTCAAATATCCAGAAAGAATTTAACCAACACTCATCCACACGTTATCCTAATTAGTTGTTCATATTTTGTACTATAGCTTTTTAAGAAATAAAACACGACACTCCCAGTGGCCTAGTATCTCTCTCCGATTCCATGTCCTTCTCCCTCTCTCTCTCTTAAGGTTCATCACATAATGATAGAAGGCAACAGTGTTCCTCTGTATCGGGGCCTGTCTACAGCTCTGTGGTGACTTTATTCACTAAAATGCTGTTACTCAAGATTCACCTGTTATCTGGGTTGTCAGGGAGATGACTGCAGGAAGTCCAGAGGACAAAGCCTGGATGCCGACACTGTAGTTGGTCCCTGCGCGCAGGTCCAAGCACATCTCTGGAGCCCGGCTGCTGGTAGTGATATTAAAGGTCATTTCCTGGACAAATTCCTTCTGATACCATCGCTGGCCCTGAACGTGGAACTGAAACATAGAAAAGTTCACAAGATGAATCGCTGGCTTGAAAGGCTCTCAACACCTGGATACTGACCCCTTCTCATGAGCTCTCTTGCCCTTAACTCTAAAGTTCCTTCAAAAAGTGAAATACAACAGTAAGCAAATATTACAGTTGAGATACCATAAATAGTGTAGTTATAAGAGTATCAGTATAATAAATATGTTTTAAAGTCAAAATGCACAAAAGGCCACAGCCCTGATAATGACAAGCCTCCCTTTGTTTTCGCACATACAGTGCATGTGCCCAACGGGAATGTATGCTGGCAAGACTGCGGGGCCCAGGCCAAAGGACATGGGCCTAGAAAGAAAATTAAGAATCTGAACTCAGGCTTCTCCAAAGCAGGACGACTGAATTAGGATACTCCTAGTTGGTCTGGTAAAACCTGAGGAGGGTTTTTCTCTTCTGCCTGCCCCCTTCTGACATTACCTGCACTTTCCTGGATCATCCCAGCCCTTGGGCCAATAGACAACACTCTTCTTTCCACTTAATTTAGTAGCAACTTAGCTCATGGTCTTTACCTTTCTTACAACCACACTAGCTTCCAGAGTTCCTTTGACTCTCTAGGCAACACATTCAGACCCTGGTCAGAGACACTGGTGTGGAGAGACCCACACATGCAAAAGCCCTTGGATTCCTTCCACGGATCCTGCCTGAACATCGCCTCTGCATCGGGTTGTGTGCACAAAGAAACCTCCGTGGCTTTCACATCAGTTCCCAAGGTCTGTCTTCAAAAATGCATCATGACTTCCCATGCTCTTGCTTCTCATGCAATTGTCACTATAAATCTTCCTTTGATAACAGCAGCTATATAAGCAGATTTTTAGGTTTGTTGGTATTTTTTTAAACCTCTCACACAAAACACATGTAGAGTAACTTGCAGTAACTTACTAAATACATCTCCTCTGTGTCAGCTGTCTTCATGCTTCTCCATCTCAAGCAGGTTTCATTAAATATTGAAATGTTACCAATGGTCTGTTTTACTGTAGGGGGAAAAGAATGAGAAATCAACATATTCCATACAAAAATACTTGCTTTCAATTGAACCATTTTCCAAGGTCAAGCTTTTACATAGGAAGATTTCAGCAGTACTGTAATTTAGAGATGAGTGGTTGCAGCCCAAGAAATGCCACTTTTCTATTTATGTGAACTCAGTCCTGATGAAAGATTTAAGATCAAAAGAGGACCCTCCTAAAAATTATGTCTGTCTAGCACTGTAAACTTCCTTGGTTTACTAAGCAAAAACTGCAACTCCTTGTCCTCACCATAGACAACCTCATTTGTACAAATAAGCATCCATTTGAAATTCTGAGTTGAGAGTAACACTTTCACAGAGAACTGAGAACTGCTCCTTGAGAAACCGAAAAAGTCTCTCTCCAGCAGACGAGCCTCTCACGGGTCCCTCTTGGTCTGGGCTTCCTCATCTCTTCTGGCCAAAGAAGCATTTGTTAGTCTCCGCTCAAGTTCACGGTATTCAATCCAGAAGGCAGTTTAGATCTGGTACGGTGTAATACAGAGGTACATTCCTCAAGCTTTTTAAAATAAAGACTAGTTATTCAAAACTGATATGAAAGTTACTTCTTTCAACCATGACCCCTGTCCCTAAACAGGAAACAATATAACAGTCTTACTAAGAAGTTTCATAGGATTACTGTGATGATGAGTAAGTCATAAAGACAACTCCCCAAAGAACCTGGAAAAAAGAAAGTCTCACAGGGGCCAAGGCTTTATTGCATAAGCCCTGGCCTGACAGGCTGCCAGGAATGAAGCCAAGTCGGTAGATGTGACCCCTCTTTATGACTGGGCAGCTTTGCCCAGGGAAAACCTGTTCCACAGGTCACAAGTTATACTTCAAATGTTGTAAGACAGAGCAAGTAAGAATGTATAGTTAATCCAGGATAACAACCTCACTGCCAGGTGCAGGAGATGGTTTCAGAGATAAGTAGTAGGGGGCCAAGGAACCTCAGGTTTATGAAACTTTCAAAAACCAAATAACTCTAACACTACTTAAACAGCTCCAGACCACACAAAAAAGGTGGAAAGCTTCCCAATTCATTCAACGTGACTGGATGATCCACAATACCCAAACTACACAAGGATGATACATCCAATCACTAAACACACTATGCCAAACTCAAGTATTAATATAAATCCAAAATCCAAAATAAGTAAAAGCAAATAGAAGTCAGCAGTACATTCAAAGAATAATACACTATGACCAAGAGAGAGATATTCCAGGAATATAGAAATGATCATTATTGGAAAAGCTATTATTATAGATTAAAAGAGAAAGACCATACAGTTACATTTATAATCATAATGGTTAATATATTTAATATACATTCTTGGCTAAAAATCTTAGTAAGCTTAGATTTAATTTGATAGAAACCCTTAATTTAAAAGAGAATTCATTAAAAACTACCATACTGAGTGGTAAAACAATGAGGCAATTTCTAGTAAAATTAAGAACAATACAAGGATGCATAGTCTCATAGCTATTATTTAGCATTAGTCAGGAGATTCTGGACAATGCAGAAAGAGACGAGAAAAAAAAAAGAGCTATAAATACCAGGAAGAAAGGGAACAAATGACGCAACCACCAGTAAATCTAAGAAAATAAACTGAAAAACAAATATGAAGTTGTTTGAAAACAATAGAAAAATGAATACAAATAATAGAGTTTGGCAAAGTGCACCCAAATACAAGAACATAGAAAAGCTAATAGCTTTCTGTGTATCTGCAAGAACAAGTATATGGTAGGCTGAATAACAGCCCCCCAAAGATGTCCACACCCTTGTTCCTGGAATCTGTGAACATGTTACCTTACATGGCAGATGGACTTCGTAAATGTGATTAAGATAGATTATCCTGCATTATTCAGATAGGCTCAAAGTAGTGACAGGGGTCCACAGAAGAGGGAGACAAGATCAAGGTTAGAGAGAAATTAAAGGAGGAAAGCAGGGATTCAATTGATGAGCTTTACAGGTGGAAGACAGGGCCATGAACCAAGGAATGTAGGCAGACCTAAAAACTGGAGAAGCCAAAGAAATGGATTCTCCTCTTGAGCCCCAGAAGGAATACAGGCTTGCTGACACCTTACTTTTGACCCAGCAAAACTGATTCAGACTTCCTACCTCCAGAACTACAGCGTAGTAAATTCATGTTGTTTTAAGCCACTAAATTTGCAGTGATTTGTCATACTAACAATAGGAAACTACAACTAATAAAATACAACAGAAAAATTTTAAGATTCCTATTCACAAGAGAAGAAACCACAAACATTAAATATCTATAAATAAATCTAACTAGAAATATCCAAGACTTACATTAAGATTTTTTAACAATTTTTTTCCTTAAGGACATAAAACAATAGAGAAATGCCACATCCTTGAATGAAAAGATGCAAAAGTGAAAAGACATCAATTCTTCACAATCTATAAATGGAATGCACTTCCAGTGGCAATTCCAACGGACCTTCCTGGAACCTGGTAAACTCACACTTCATTCAGTGAATATTTAGAAAGTTCTCACCATGTGACAGCATGCTTTAGGGCTGTGAATTCTGTTTCCATGCTTTTCTACATACATAAAAACTCTTTGTTTCAATGTTAAATCACAATGTAACCTTTTTGAAAAAGCATTAATAGGTGATTAAACCCAAAATGTTCAAAGTACCACTTATGTCCATAGCTAAATAAATGCAGCCACACTATGAGCAGTTATGGTCCATTTGAAGCATACAAGGGTAATTAATGACAATTACACTCATGGCAGTCACCTGAATGTCTAACAGTTGTGAGATTTCATAGATATTAAAATGTGAAAATATGTGCCTTTGAGAATAAAATAATACTTGTTAACAAATACAAGCTATATATGTTATTATTAACTTATATGCTACTAACAGTAGCATTGTTTGTAATAATAAAAATTTTAAGGGGAAAAAAAAACCCTAAATATCCTTACAGAATGGATAAGTTAATAAATGAGTGCACCTTCACGTAGTGGAATACTAGGCTTCCTTCAAAGAGAATGAGAAGACATTGTATGAACTGGTATGAAAGTATGTCCACAGAATATTTTAACACTAATCATTTAAAAGTTAAATAAAAAGGCAAAATTTAGAATGGTATGTCTATAATGATTCCATTTTTTTTTGGAGTATATACACACACATAAATGCACATGTGATGCTACGGCAGTTGTGGTTCTGCAATTCTTCTGCTCACAGGAAATGTCTCTGGTTAAGTTCAGTTCCATCTTAACCAGAGAGCAACTCTCACTCTAGGTCCCCCTCCCTCCATTCAAGGGGCTTACAGCTTGAACTACAGGGAGGCTGAACGCACGAAGACTTCACTGGGAAGAAAAGGATCCCTTAGTCCCTTCCTGCTCTGCTCTCTGATCCTTTTTTAAATACATGTCCTGTCCCTCGTCAAATATTCCTTCTCTGGTCCATTTTTAGTGGTCACTCTGCCTCATCTCTCTCTCCTTTCCCCACCCAGAAGGCCAGTCTAATCCAGAATCCTGAAGCTGAGAAACCAGACCGACAAGAATACCTCAAGGAGGAAAAAATTCGGTTTTTAATTCATCAAATTCTTTGCAACTTTGTTTCTGCTTCATTAATGTGAGCAAGCAACTCTGGGCAAAATCAATTACTTCCTCTGTGCTCCCAGAGTGCCCAGCAAATACCTCAGTTACACTTTATGCACTGTATTATTACTGATCTTTGTCTGTTGCCCCTTTGAACTGAGAGCTCCCTGAGGGGACAGGCTATGTCTCATTCATTTGGTACTTCTAGCATCTGGGCAATGGCAAGCACAGCCTTCCCAGTTGTTTAAATGTAAACAATCAGCATCAAGGAGAAAGCTAAGCAACTGATATCATATAGACCCAATGGAATACAGGTACTCTGAATAAGACATGGTTTCTGCCCTTAACATGTATTTAATCTAGAAGAGGAATTACACCTTATATTAGTATAACAAAAAATACAAGGGACTATTCAATAAATGTCATAAGGTAAATTTAAGTAATAGTTAACATTTGATAGATGCTTATCGTGTGTCAGGGATTGTGAGGGTTCTCCATAACCCACTGAGTCTCACAACAAACCTACCATGTAAGTATTGTTATTCCCATTTTAGTTAAGGCAGTTTAGGCACATAGAAGTTAAGTGACTTGCCCCGAGGCACAGAGATGGTAAGTAACAGATTTGAGGTTTGAGTTTCAAGAGCCAGCCTGACTCCAGAGTACCCGCACCAAACTATTCTACTTCAACCTGAAATAGAGTATGGGAATTCAGAAAGGATGAGACTTACTTTCAGCGGGGGAGACTGTAGAAGAAGAGACGAAGGGAATAGAGGCAGTAAAGAAGAGAAGAGAGGGGATTCCAGGTGGAAGAAATAGCATGGACAAAGTCATGGGGGTGGAAAAGTTAGCACTAAATTTATTACAGAGTTCCAGTATGTTCAATGATAATGATGGCCCCTTAAATCCGAATCTCTCTACACATTCTCCAAAATACTCTTCAGCTCAACAAGAAGAGCAAATGAAACAACATAAAACCAATATTATTATCACAGCTGGAAGACAGAGAACACTACACACTTTAAAATACCTTTTAAGAGACAAATAAATACCAAACTCCAGCAAGGCCACCCCTCAGTCCCCCCACGTGTCATCGTCCAGAGTGAGAGGGGTCTAGAAGAGTATGTGAAAGAGAGGAAGGGAACAAAGGGGCCAACAGTGAGCTGGATTCACTTCCAGGAAGAGAAATGACACCTAAGTATGAAAATACTGAAACAGAGATCTGCTATAGCAAAGTACTGACTGCAAGCAAAGGATGAAAAGAAAAGTCTAGGAGACTTCAGGTAGTGTTATGATAAAGCCATTGCTTCTGGGAAATAAAAGGATTAAAAGTAAGGAATTGGTGTCCCTTGGAAACTAAGTGGTGAAACTAAGTGGAAAAAAGAAAAGCAAGGGGAAGATGCATGATCCTACAAGGCAAAAGAGAACCCAGAAATAGAATACACAGTTCAGCCCCAAAAGAGTAACAAAATATCCTTTAAAGAAATAACACTTCCTTGGATGACAGAAGAGGGCGCTCTTAATCTAGAAATCTAGCTTAAACCATCATCCTAAACTACCACCTCTGACTTTGGGATTAATAGACAAAAATAGTGTTCATTAAGAAAAAGAAGAAGAAAATTAAATCAAAACAATTCAACTTGTGCAAAACCACATTTTTTAAAAATCCCACAAACTAGAGAGAGGGGGGGAAAACCTGTAACACAATAAACTGAAATGAGCACTGGGAGTATGATGAAAACACCTTGAGTCAGAAATTGAAAAACTAAGAAATAGAAATGGAAAAAAAGGCAGGGAGAAACATGAAAGAAAAGTGAATTCAAGAAGGAAATAAAAGGAAAGGAATCAGAAATAAAGCCAAAATGCCATGGTGCCCAAAGGATAGACCAGAATGAAAATGTAAAAAGGGACATTGAAGAAATAGAAGAAAACAACCAAAAGAAAAAAAAATGAGATTAAAAAAAAGTAAATAGTTCAAT